ATGTAATAAAAGATTAATCTTGGGGGGGGAAAAAATGAGGGCAAGCATTGATATTTCCAAGCTATTTCACATACAACAAACAATTCAACAATGGGAAGAACTTTCAGAACCTATCAAATATAGCATTATATCAAGTTTCACACATGCACTGTATGCTGAAGTACTTAACATGGAAAGCAGTGCCATAATACCTAAAACAATTTTGCACATTGTTTTTATTAGTTACTTCCTAGATTCCCTTCAGAAACCAGAAAAAAGATTATAAATATCTTAATAAAAGTCTCTACATGTTTGCACTAGAAAAAATAAAATGGTATTTTTAAGCATATCTTTAGTGCATGCCTTTATGGCTGTTAAGTTATTTGTTTTAGGATTGTGTACTCTTCCCTCCCTTATATACTGTAGGTTTGAATAAGAAATATTCCATACTTGCTGTTAACAAAAGCTGGTGACTTTTCCATTGTCCTAAGTTGGTGGAGAAAGCGGTCATGCACTGGTTAACTCAGTCAGTAACCAATAGAACTGAGTCTACCAAAGTGCTGTCATCGGCTCTGTGGAGCATGCTCCCGCTTTTCAAGACTCAGTTCGATTGAACTGGCTGTGTTAAATCGCTCTCTCCTAGATTAATTGGTTAAAATTGATTGATTGATTGGGTTTTTAATTGACTTTTCTCTAAATTCGCTTGCAAATTGTTTCTTTAAACTGATATTCCAGTCTGGACTCCTGTTAAACTCTCTAAAGCCTTTGGGCTAGAGAGCTTTTGCCGCGCCTCGTGGAGGTTAGCCTCTAAAAGCCTTCGGGCTTTCTGCCGGATCGGATTTCAGCAGAGCTTGTTGAAATAGCCGAGGGAAGCCCTAATCCTCTCAGCAGGGGACTCCCAGGTCGCTGCCTTGCCGCTTTCGCTGCCAATCGCCGCCGCCACCTGCAGGAGCCTCCAGACACAGCAGGGAGCCTCATTAGAGCTGAAGAATTCGCCGGCGGCTGGGGAACGCCGTTCCAGCTCCTGAGCTTCACAGTTTGTTGCTCCAAGGACAGCAGCACGCCGCAGCATTGCCTCTGGCTCCACAACCTTGCCGCAGAGCCTAACCCGCCCATGCTCACCACGAGGCCTCGGCTACCTCGTGGCTCCAGCCCATAGGCTCTGCAGCCTCAGTGGCCGTTGAAATTGGCGTGAAAACTTCTGGTGGCCATTTTGAAGCAACAAACTTAACTGTGAGTAACGGCTATGGCCTCCTCTCCCCCTCCGGAGCCTCAATTGCTTCCTCTGCCCTTGGCCTCTGCCCCTGATATCGAGCCCCCTGCCCCTAGGGGTCGCAGGAGCAGGCCTGCTCCTGCTGAAAACACCAAGCCTCCTCCCATGGATCCAAGGCCTGTTCAGGGGGAAGTGCAGGAACCAGCCCCTAGGGAGGAAGACANAGGTAGTCTTCAAATTGAGCCCAAAATTTCTGTTGTTAAGTGAGACATTTGTTAAGTGAGTTTTGCCCCATCTTATGACCTTTCTTGCCACAGTTAAGTGAATCACTGCAATTGATAAGTTACTAACCTGGTTGTTAAGTGAATCTGGCTTCCCCATTGACTTTGTTTGTCAGAAGGTTGCAAAAAGTGATCACATGACCCTGGGACACTACAGCAGTCATATGAACCAGTTGCCAATCATCTGTATTTTGAGCACATGACCGTGGAGATGATGCAAAGGTCATAACTCTGATAAGTCACTTTTTTCAATGCTGTTGTAACTTCAAGGACTACTTGTAGTTTTGACGATGGGAAAAATTTAGAGTCCCTGATATCTAAGAACCAAAGAGTTTAACTTTGAATATTTAACTGTTATTTCTCTCAATACTAGCTTATTAAAGAAATTGTACGGTAGTGAGTGATGTCTGGCACCAAGGAGTAATCTAAAGTTCTAAAACCCATGCTGCCTTTCTTATCTCCTATTTTGCCTGAAGAATATAGAATTTTGTACTAAGGTCTGAGGTTGTGCATTTAATGTTTTCTGAGAAGTAACTAGCCATAGAGAAGACTACCTTGCAATTTTTAAATGTGTGAAGCTAATTTAGAAATAAAACCTCTGGTGTCTGAAGTGTTTGCCCCCTCTTAAAGACATAGTTATAGTTTCTAGTAATAGAAAATGTAAAACATCTGCTAGGATTGAACTATGTTTTATTTATTAAATATGTTTCTATCCCATTTCCTAGGGATTACATAGAATAAATAACATTTAAAACATCCACAATGCAGTCTTAAAAATTATTTACTTTATACAGTGAACACACTCTATTTTTGTCCCTGCTAGTCATATTTTGGATATATATTCTGCAATTATTAAGTTAAGAATTTTGAGGCACTGCAGAATGCAGAAGTAGCAGTTATGTAGTCTGAAGGAGAAAGCTGTACTGTCCATAGTAATAAAGCATGTTGAAACATTCTGCCTTTTAGGCACATGCAGAGGTTGATACTCTGGACTTGTATTTCTTTTGTTCCAAAATATTATGAAATACAAACTGTTTTTAAAGGTTTTTTTTAGTCTGTATCTAGTGAGTCTCTTAATTCAATTTGTACTTTTCAAAAAGCCTTCAAGTCAAATTTTATTCTTGGTAACTCTGTGGATACAATTACTATGGCAGTGTTAAGGAAAGTGCTAAAGACCTCTGCCTTCTTCCAGTTTTTTTTTTTTGTTTTTTTTTTTTTTGCCTTAAAGCTGCCTAGTGGCCCCTCATCTGAGAGTCAGGCTGCATACAAGTTTAATAAATTATTGTTCTTATTGTTGTCTACAAGGCTTTGGCCTGCTTAGCTTCTTAGAGTTCAAACAGATGCTACCACCTGGTGAGAGGTATAAAGGATATTGGTGGATAAATTGCATAAACAAAGTTACATTATGACTAGAAATCACCATAAATTATCACAAGTTTGCTCAAAGAAAATTAGATGTTAATTCTTACTTGGAAATTTGCAGTGTGAATTTCTAAATTTTTAAAATTAAAAATTTATCAATTCCCTAAAAAGCAGTGAATTTTACAAATGTGAGTCATCCATGGAGAGAAAGTGTACTTTTCCGTAGAGTTTGCTGTGTGTCTTATCCTTACGTGGATCCAGGGAGTTAGAAACCATTTACCAAATGATGCTATATGTTAACTTCTACATGAATATTCAAAATAGTTATATCTTACCTATGCTGCATCACTACAATGGATAATTGAATGGATAATTATTAAGAGGACCTACTTTTTTCAGGTATCAAATTACCTGTTACTGTATGGTAGCTAACTGTTATGTTGCTGCAATGAAAACAAGGCTATAGCTAATGCAAGTCCAAGCACATTTTTCCTTTTTATTTATGATGATGCATACTTTGCTGAGTTGATCAATATACAATTGATTGAATATAGAGATAAAAGGAAATCAGCTAAATCTCAAATACATTTTGCTTGTATATGTATTAGTTGAACGTGAGGGTTCTGTCCATTTTCCATGTAGAATTGTTACATTTTGTGGTGTGATCTACTGCCAATCTTTAAAACACATATATGCAAAGATGGCCATGCCTGAGTCGACCTAAGTATCCCTAATTTTGTTTAGAATCAAGCATTTAAAACTATTAATTTAAAATTCAAACATATTCTGTACATTTAAGGGAAGAAATCCAAACAAAATTTATAAATGCTGAGCTGGAAGGAAAAAAAATACACATGCAATTGGGTTTTTTTTATGTGGGAGAAAAAATAGAACAGAACAGTGGTACTCAACCTTCTCTTCACCACTGGCCCCCTTTAAATACCTTTTGTGGCCATGTCAAGATTTAAATCATAACATTTCTTCAAGTCTTCGTGGACCCCCGGGAACCAATGGAATAGAATATTCTTTATTGGCCAAGTGTGATTGGACATACAAGGAATTTATCCCTAGAAGCTCTTTGTATTATAGCCAGTACAGTTACATGTAGTTCTTGACTTACAGCAGTTCATTTAGTGACCGTTCAAAGTTACAACAGCACTGAAAAAAGTGACTTATGACCATTTTTTACACAACCGTTGCAGCATCCCTATGGTTACGTGATCAAAATTCAGAAGCTTGTCAACTGGCATGTATTTATGATGGTTGCAGTGTCCTGGGGTCATTTGATCACCTTTTGCAATCTTCTGACAAGCAAAGTCAATGGGGAAGCCAGCTTCACTAAACTAACTTAACAACTGTGGTAAGGAAGGTTGTAAAATAGGGCAAAAGTTATTTTAAAACTGTCTCGCTTAGCAACAGAAATTTTGGGGTCAATTGTCATAAATCAAGCACCTGTATTGTATTAGTTGTATTATCTTTTATGAGTCTGTACAAGCTATGCAGCCAGATGGAGAAAGGCTAATGTGAACTGACACTGATGTGAAATACGCATAAGTATTTTTGTTTGGGAGTTAATTTATATTAGTCCAATCTACACTCCATTTATGCTGTAGCTACTAAATACATACATTTTCTTATGTAGGCATCGCTCAGTGAAATGAAATTAAGATGGGAATTAATATGAATATATAATGATTATCTTGACTGTCTGGAAGTTTATTCTTGCCAATTGGAATTTCCTTGTTGGTTCAAAACGTTTTGCTGCTTATCCAAGTAGCTTCTATAGTTTGAACAAGTTGGTTGTGGGAACCCCATATATGTCCTCCTGGGGAGGTTTCATTTCTCACCTAATCTGGATAGGCTCAGTAGGTTCGTAGGCAAATAGTCTTTGGAATATAAATGTTCCCACCTCCAGGGATGCCCAAAAGAAGGAAAACAGCCACTTGAGGACAGCTCTTAATGTTGAATGTTGAATGTTTATTTTATTTATATGCTGCCCTTTTCCCCCGAAGGGGACTCAGGGCGGCTCACAACT